AAAAAAAAAAAAAAAAAACAAAAAAAAAGAAGAAAGCACTCACAACACGAATACAACAAAATGATGAAAAAGGCAACGGTCAAGAACCTGAATATAGGTAATCAGGTATACATACCTTTTTTTCTGGATCCTGCCTCTTGCCTATGTTTGTTCTTACGCCTTGTGCGCAGAGCACCAATTTTGCGGTGCCGACTTAACTTGACTGCTTGCCTTCTATTCCATGCAATGCAGTTAGAATAAAATAACGCAACCATGAACCATTGCTGTGACAATAGACTCGGAGGAACGTGAGGTATCCAGGAAATGAGCAAAGGAAGAGGGATATGTGGGACAGGAAAAAAGGAGCGATGATAATAACGGACGCCGGGGTATTGTATGCCTGGACACTATTTTTCTGCCGGTAGGTAAATTGGACCCAACTGGCCCGATGGAGAATCGATACGGCATGAGTTTTACAATACAGATGCCTCTTCCCTTTTCATCCCCGTAACGTATAGGGGTAACGTGTAGGGAAGATAAAGAAAGAGACCAAGTGAAGGGATGGCTGTGAGACCAAGGGTGGAACACCGACGTATGTTTGATATATCATTATCGAAGACCAAGCGGTGACAACTTGGATGCACGATAGAGAACAGATGGGTGATAATGGAGAAATAGTAGTCCATGCAGGAGACAAGCCACAGCTAACGAACAAGGAACGAGGTAAGCCCAACTCACCGGATGTGATATGCACTTGGTTCTTGCTTTGGGCTATTGCCAGGAATGTGAACCCGTTCTGATTCGGCAAGATGGTGGGTTCAGGACGGTAAGAAAACAAGGAACGAAGTACGGGGGGGTTCAAAAGGGAAAAGGAGAAAGAAGAGCAACCTATAAAGCTGATTGAATAAATAGAAACAAGTACGAGATAGGATCATAAGCGTATCATAAGATATCATAAAATGTCATAGGGGGATCATGGCATAGTGTTTTATCCATGCAGACATGACGAAAGGGAAAGAGGAAGAGAGAAAGAGAGAGAAAGAAGGAAAGAGAAATGAGCCGAGGACAAATAAGTAACAATTACAAAAAACAGAAGAGAATCATCTCCACGGATAATCAAGCAATTCTGTGGATACGTGGGTACAGAGTACGGAGGTGTAGTATACGGAGTACAGAGTGCAGAAGAGGAGAATAATGGGGATGCTCGGGATTATATGCTGGAGATAACGTACTCGAGGGACAGAACGTGATTCGTCCGTGGCATTGTTTGTCCCTGACCCATTCCAAGGACACTGTACCCATTGGAAGGTCCAGAGCATTGTCTACACGTATGTACCACTACTACCACTCTATGGGAGAGAACATGCACTATCTTCAATGGGATGCAGATAATTAAGGTGGCAAGATTGATCTACTATATGGCCTCCAATCACTGGACTCAGGTGTATCCACATCATCTCATGTGCTCTCCCTTTCTATGCTTATGGGGACTGACAGTGGCAAATGGTGGCGCACTGCCTTCCTGAATAGGAAAGAACGAGGTGGATGAAGTGCATTCCCACTAGGGCCGGATGTCTCCATCCAAATCACCAATGAGATCCATTTATTCGGCTGCTGTGACGTTGATCCTGCCGACACTCAAATCGAGTGAAAATACCGTGAGTCTTCGTGCTACCATGAACCCCTTTAGACAGAGGGAATTCCCTGCTAAGAATAATGCCAACATAAATGTCAGCAGTGGTAGAATATTCTTGATTGGAGTCGGTACGGACAAGTCTAGGCGGAAATTTTATCCGACCGAGTCACAGTGCGGGTGTGCTTTGCACATTCTGTACTCCAAAGTACACAATAATAATTGACATCCAATCCGATTTCCCCATCATCCACGTACAAAATTGCAAATATCTGTGTCTCCATAATTCTCTGAAGCCCTTCTCCATCACCGCAAACCTTCCGTTCCATAGGCGGCATGAGATACCTGCCAATCAGCGTTGTTCCTGGCCCACTTCATCCGAGTCATCATACCATTATGTACATGTACTATGTACTTATGGAAGTTCTACTCAGTAGTATACATAAGGGTGGTATTGTTATATGGGGAGCTTCAATTTCCATTGAGCCTATTTCTCTGCTCTGTACAGAGTAGAAGAGAGATGTATAGGTAGCTATATTTCGCTCAATCAGCACCCGAATACAGCGAATACAAATCAGAAAAATCATAAGCTGCGGAACCCTCTCTAAGCATCTAGAAAACTCCTACATATCGATCATCAATCGCCACAAACACAGCCATTTTCCATCCACCAAATCTATCCCTGCACTAATATCTACTGCAGAGTACTCTATACGGTATCCCCAGTGATGTCATCTCCAATCCTATCGACGATAGCCAGCGATCCATGGATAAGTGTTCCATGAAACCACTTATTGACAAATGCTGTTTCTATTCCTGTAGCAAATTGAGGCTAATGAACCGTGTTGCATCTGACCTTATGCCATTTTACCTACTGAATCCTAAAATAATTTCCATCCAACCTCTACCTTCTAATTACTTAATACTGCTTAGCACCAAACCGGGACTGCGGAATAGAACGGCCAGAACCATTTAGAACGCCCGGGGAAAACAAAACAAAAAAAAAAAAAAAAAGGCAAAAAAGACTGGAAAAAACCATGGTACATACAGAGGGACATTTTCTATAGAGTATTCTAGACTAAGTACAACCGCGGCCTCAGTTAGAGAAAAATCTGCTATAGACATGTGAAAGGGAGACAAATCCAGTGAATCTGTATCATCGTCATCATCATCAATTGTGTATTTGCTCAAAACTGGTATACAAGTATAAAGGAGAAAGAAAACAAACCAAAACTAATGCCACCCAAAGAATCCAACGCAAAAAAGCAAGTCATTATATTCACAGGACTCATTCATTAGAGTATAAAAATTAACATTACGTGCAATGATATGCAACGAAAAGAAAAGATGTGCCAACTCGATCATCGGTCGATTCCGAGCGAAGCTACTTTGCCGGCAAACCGTGCACCAGCGCTCCCTCGTTTATGCAATTTCTCCCGGTCCCTGCTGGAATTATCGAGAGAACTGCTCGGTGTATGTGACGATGACCCTGGGTAATCATTCCGAATTGTCGGGAGGGTTCCCAGCGTATCAGCAGTCGTCCTACCGGCGCCCACACCGATCGGTGGAGGCATTCGACTAGTTCGCTGGCTAAGGTATAGTTGCGCTGCTGGTGATAATGGGATTGGTGGAGGCTGTAATGGAATTTCGGCTCCATTCTGGACGAGTATTTCCGCAACGGGAAACGGAATTGCCTTAATTGAAGTGGCCGTACTGGGCCGCGAAGATGCACTGCTTGTCGGCGTCGAGCCAGGAGATGCGGGATCGGCCGCGGCCAGAGCGAGAAATACTGCGTGGGTATTGCGGGAGCGGTCCGTCACGTTGACATTGGCACGCAGAGCAATGCCATAGAGCACGCCCTGGATATCATGCTTTTTAATCGAGGCCAAAAGTGACTCATCCGGTGTCGTGAACCGGGAACGTGGGGATGGCAGCTGTTGCACATAGGTCCGCTCACTATATTTGGCGCTAATAAACTTCAGGCGCTGTTCACGAGTCGAGCTGGCACTCGGCTTCAGCGACTGATCCAACATGGCCTCCCAGACCATGTTGCTGACCCGGTTGCCAACCTGAAGGAGGATCTCGACAATGTCGTTTGAAAACGAATGGACGTCCAGCGTTAGAGACCGAATTTTCGAGATATGCGTTCCCAAAGACCGGTGAATACCACTGCACTCAATACACAGGATGATTCCCAGATTGATCGATACCCACTCGACTTTTGAATTTGACCCACAATCGGCGCACCAATTGTTTCCCTGGTCCGCATTGCGGACGGCTTGAAGCAACTTTGCTGGATCCTCGTCATAACTGTTGCTATCAGTACGGACGTAGCCGGGCCGTGCTCCGACAGTCGTCCGGCGATTCACGGTATTTGATCCCGTAGAGTTCGAATGATGGCCCGAATATGACGAGCTTTTCCCAGTAAAAACGGAACCGATGTCGCGGCCGGTGCCGTCATTCTTGGACGAAACCGCTGATTGAGGTGGTACGACACGGCCCTCGACAGCGCTTTGCAGGGCATTGTTGATGGCCCGGATCCAATTGGCCATATCCTCCTCCGATGTTGCCTGGTAGATACGCTTGTATTGAGGAGTAATCACTTCAAAACAGAATCGCCGTTCGGCATTCCGTGCCTCCCGCACGGAAGCCATCCGAAGATCGATGGGGTCCATGTGCAGGTCCAATTTCTGCTTCCAATTACTGTATTCGGAAAGTTTCCCTTGATCCAAAACAATCCAGAACCTGGAATGATTATTAGTCGAAAGAGGAAAAAAGAAAAAAGAGTTCTAATAGCCTCACTTATGCCATGCTTGTTTGTTGATACCCTTAGGATCAATGTGAGATCCAGGTCGGGACAGAGCCCAAAGAAGACCCTCCTTTCGATGTTGACCTAGCAAAGATTATTGGGTTAGAGCTAGAATTTAATAGAGATTACAGAAGGAAAAACAACCTACCACTTGCATCGGTAGGAGAAATGGATGCTCCTCCAGACGTACCCAGTACTGTCTGGTTGGTTTGTGACGACATGGTGGAAGTGTTGCTGATCACGTTGCGGACTTGAGATCCCGTGCTATCCGCGCGACCAAGCTCAGTTTCCGTATTCTGTGTTTGAGCCCCATTTGTTGTTGCCGATAACGTTGCTGGGGCGCCCTGATTCGGAAACGACTCCGGCTCGAGATACGTGTTGCTATTTTTCTCCAGAGCCCTCCTTTTTTCTTCCCTTTCTGTCCTAAGAAACTGAAACTCCTTGTCGGCCTGGGTGACCTCATGAACTAGGGCATCCAGTTGAGGAACCATGACCTCGACTTTGTGGGCTGCTGCAAGGAAATTCTTCGCCTGGGTGTCTGCGTACTTGGTGAGATGCGAAAGGACCTCTTGTTCTTTACGACCACCATGCAGGTCTTGCATGAACGAAGAGTAATCGAATCTCTTCAGCTCAAAGTTACGCCGCTTGGCTTGGTATTTGGAATCACTCTCGACACGTTTCTTCTCTTTCAGCGAATCCTGTCGCTGTCCGAGATAGCGACTGACGTAGGCATAGTAGTCCCTGCTTTCTTCTTCGAATTCTTTCTTCTTCGCCTCCGCTTGCTTGATGTCGTTGTTGTATAGTTTAACCAAAGGCTCAATGACCAGCTTTTGCAACTGGATCGTATTGACTTGCTCGTATCTGAGGATCTGCCGAGCGCTCTTTTCATAATAATGGTCGAGAGCAGGTTGGATCGCGTTCGCATTGGATGTGGAGGCCTCATTCAGTGCGCCCAAGAAACCCGAAACAGCTTCGTTGCAGGCAATTTGGGCTTGCTGAGCCGCCTCGGCTTTCTTGAGAACTTTCTTTATCTTGGTCCGCATGTTGCCCGTCTTCTGTTCCAACGCTTTCATTGTGGCGCGGAACAGCGGCCCGTCGTCAACGGCACTCATATCCTCACCAAGTCGTGAAGTTGGAAGGTCGAGTTTCACAGGAGGCGGCGGAGGCGGAACTTGAGGATGCGGGGGGTAATCATTATTAGTATTATTATTGGTGTTGCTGTTGTTATTAGCATTACTATTAGCATTAGTATCGCCGTTCTCAGATGGAGCGCGCAAAGGCATATGAGTGCTGGCTGTTGTGTCTGCATCACTGCCATGTGAACGAACTGAATGGGACGACGGCATGCGATTGCGAATTGGAAAATGAAGATCAAGGTTAGGCGACAAGAGCTGTGGACTTGGGAGTAAGCGGACATTGTTCTGCACCCAGAACGAAAAATGCGCCAATGTGTTCAGGCGATTCGCCCGCGAGTCATAGTCGAGGAAGCTGCAACTATTGCGCCAACCACCGCCTCTGTCTTCAACCGTTTTTGGAGGTTTCCATTTCCACGACCACTCGAACTGAACCGACGGGCTGCCTCCGGTAGAATAGTCCCCCACAAGTTGCACGTTCGAGTTATTCTGCAAGTTGGGGTTTGCATGGAACTCTCTAGTGATCAGGTTATCAAGTTCCTTGGAATTCGACGCATGCGCGAACGTCAGGCCTGTGAGGACGGTGTCGGTTACTTCTGGTAGAGATGTCGAGACCCCGTTGACAGTGGAATTCGCAGCATTGCCGGTCTGAGTCTGTCTCATGATAAAGGTGAAGTTGAATTGTAGCTCATCTTCGTTGTTTAGGCGCAATATGAAGTTGGGCACCTGGGCGGATGGAGGGGGGTCAGGGTCCTGCAAAAAGCCGTCCGCACAACATCCCAAGTCAGTCTCTGAAAAGCGTTTAATCCATTGCAAATATGCGATATTCTGCTTGGAGTTAGTTACTTACCTGTACATATTCAATTGGGCTGTCATCGCCAAGATCACGTTTTGCTGTGTATCTCGTGGCGGGGAACGCATTTGGGGCGAGGTTCAACAGAATCCGATTCTTCGAATTGATGACCGAAACATGCGAAACGGTAACTATAGGGTGCAGTTTGAATCAGTATAAGCCCCTCATTAATTCCGGAATCTAAGGGCACTCGGAGAAAAAACGGGACCAGGTCCCATCGGCCAGATCTAGCCCAGGTACCACACAGGAACCAACATACATCTAGACTGATCCTTGAAGAACAAAGTCCCCGTATCATCCAGACGACTTCCAACATTCCCCATCTTGAAACCGAAGACCGACCGAAGCAGATAGTTATAGGCACCGTTCAAAAAGGAAACCGGGAGAGGGGCCGGACCAGTTGAGAGTCACCATCGACGGTCTGCGCGCACACGGATTGAATGCTGCTGTTTCGAATAACAGGGCGGTCATCCAATTCGAGGGTTCTCTAAGCGCTCGCGAAAAGGAGGGGAGAAAACCCTCTGAATAGTGGGACGTGCTCGATAGATGGCAGACGATATTAAACGGCGCGTTTAGGAGGCAGGTCAGTCCACGGTCGGATAAAAGTCGCACTAGACTGTTGGGCCTGGTGTCGGAGATAAGAATGGTGCTTGTAGAGGCTGGATCCTGAGTCGAACAGCGATGATTTCGACACTGTAAGAGAAATTGGCGAGGGAGAATGAGTTGGAGAAAGTGTGAAAGAGATGGGAGGGAGTTAAGGTATTAGCCGCTGGGCAGTGTTTGGTGGTGGTGTTGGTGGTCGATCGGTCGGAGAAGAGAAAGAGGAGTGTCCCGCACTCGACTCGCTCAACAGACGGTGTGAATAAGAGAGCTTTATATTACTAGGATAGAAGAATATGGCTATTGTTAAAACCGATATATTATCATAACTGAGAGCAAAGAACAGAGAGAGAAAGAGAGAGAGAGAGAGGACTACGAAAGATGGTTGGATCCTACCCACGTTCCTCTGGTCACGTTCCAAAGAACTCTGCGCTCAATTGATCTTAATTGACCTAGTTATATTCATAGGATAATAGACTCGTCTCTATCCGGCCTCAACGGTCATCTCTTGATATACATTAAAAAAAATGACCTGTCTATTTGTATCCACGCGCAGTTCGCATTAACACTACAGCTGACCCCTATACGGAGCTGCAACGGTCACCTGAGACAGACAAAGCAAAGAAGACGACTACTATGGATGCAAAAAGCATTTTCTCTACAGAATATTCAGAGTTTTTCATGTTGTATATATCTAATAAAAGAAAATCAACAGGCAGCCCGACAACGCAATGGCTCAAGAACCATCGTGTTGCCAGACATATGGCAATGCTAATTATAGTATTAACAATCATACGCATGCATAGAAAATGAAACAAACAGTAAACTGCGGAGAGGCGGGTATAAATATGCTGTGGCACAAGACTTCTCTCGTGTAGGGTCATAACCCAGAAAGAATATAGAGAAAGCCTCCAGGGATGGTTCATGGAGGAATACCACACAAGAAAAGGAAACCAGTCTAAGACGATGAAACAAAAGAAATAAATCACGAGGTACCAGGTCGCATCTCAGATGTATCCAGTTGCCCGGTAGTCGCCGGATTTCTGGAGGTGCCCGGACGATGCTTCGGATGCTTCAAATGGTGACGACGGTGATGATCATGATCATGAGGATCATTTTCCTGCTGGGCCCATTTCATAACCTGGCCCTTCACATCACGCATTTCATGCATCCTTTGCTTGAATTCGCCGCGTTGCTTCGCACGGACGCCGCTGAGTTCATCCAGTTCTTCCTCTTCAGAACTGGAAATAGACAGGGAGGAGGTGCTGCTCTGCTGGAGGAAGGTAATCTGTCGACCCTCCTGCTTCTTGCATTCTCTCTGCTCATTCTTCATCGTGCCCATCCGCTCCGCATCGTCCTGACAGTCCAGGGTAGTGATGTGTAGACCGGGTAGGTTTGCCGACAAGAACCCCTTGAGCAAATGAAGTATCTTGGCATTAGGGCGATATGTACCGCTGTCATTATCAATGAACAATTCATAGTCTGCTGGGTCTGTAGAGATCTCTGTGGGCGCATCCTCCTGCGCTTCCTCGACCGGGATCTCATTCTCTTCGTCATGAGAACGATGCCGATGGTGGCGGTGCTTACGTCGTCGAAGGAAAAACTCGCCCGAATATGCGATGTAGATGGACACGTTGCTGTGCATCGTGTGCTTACTCAATAGGTCAATTCCGAATTCCTTGCCAGTTTCGGTGAAACGCATCTGTCCATCGAGGGTGAGAACATAAGTAAAGATCCGTCCACCTTGGCCGTAATGTGCAAACTCCAGGAATTTCTGGGTCATTTCGAAACACGGCGACGAGAACTGTCCGTTCTGAGTCGTGCGATCAAAGTTATAGACCCGCTCATGCTGGTGATGTAGGGCTCGGTTGAGAATCCGCCCGCGCAAACTCTGCGACGTGAACATACCAGCTACAAACGGCCTGAATTCGACATAACGATGGTAGAGCTGCCATGGCGCGGGGCCTCGAAATTGCATCTGAATCGCTTGAAAGCTAAATAGACTGTGTTAGCGAACAGAAGGAACAAATGGCATAGGGCGCAAACATACTTGTAGCGACTGATTGATTTCTTCCCATCCTGACCTTGAACCTCATCCTTTGTCCCTGCCAATCTTCCAATCAATGGCGAGAAGTGCTTGAACCAATAGTTAGGTCCCTGTGTGTAGACTTGGCCTCCGTCGTTGCCGGGCGTTTTCCCTAAACATTCGACACTGATAATCACATAGGAACTCGGGTCGTTGCGGCGCGAAGTAAACGCAGCCAAATTTCCGAAAATATAGACCCGCTTGCTGCCCATGCGCTTCTTGACCTTGAATTTCTGTTCCTTGATACCCGGCCAGTTCTCATTTATCGAATTGACCTGCACGTAGGCATTACCCAGTTTGTCATCGTGGTCCGCCGCATCCTCATCAAACACAACGCACTTGAGCTCGAAGCCCGACGCAGGCACGTTCGCAACGACCCACTCACTGTTCCAAACAGGATCCAGATTCTTGCGCACGGTAGGAGTGCGAAAAGTCAGCCCCGGGTCTTGCTTATGGCGTTGCGGCAAGCTAACTGATAGATGCGCAGCGATATACGGATCCGATGAAAAGGAGCCGAAATCCGCAAAAGGCAGGTTGTCACCGCGATGGAAGGTAAAGCGCAAGGTGTACCCGGGCGGCGCATGCGGAATAGGCGTATTATCGAAGCCTCCTGCTGGTTGATGGTCGCTATTAGAAGTATCGGCACCAGAACCACCAGCACCAGACTCGTCGTCTGGTGGAGAACCTTTTTTCATAGCGACTGTTTGATCATGGAGTTTATCGGCGTGGTCGATAAGTTTAGGAGCAATTTTGTCTCCCTGATGACGGGGGCGCACCCGGGGATGAGTGGTGGCGTCTTCTTCCATGGTGGAATTGTTGCTGCCTGCCACAGCAGCCGATGCGGGAGGGCTCCGGGGATGGAGGGGACATGGATTTAATTAACAGGGGAAGGGGAAAAAAGAAAAAAAAAAAAAAAAAGAGAAAGAAAAGAAAGAGGAGAAAAGAGTCCTAAGAAGAGGAGAATAAGAATAAGTAAAAATGTGATAATGGTAACTCAAAAAAGTCCGGTCCAAAATCAAGGGAAATAACCATCACCGTCGTTAGTATCGGAGGTAAGGCTCACTTGACCCTACTGGGCTGAATCCCCTCCACGCGGGCCAAGAAAGGCCAAGCTTTTGCCGATCGCCATCCGAGGAACCTTTAACGATGTCAGGGATGATATAACACTAATAGAGTGCATAGCAGTAACTATGATGCGAGATAGAAGTATAGAAATCCATTTATATTCTTGAGCTGTTCTTGATAACACTAAAGAAATCCCCGTCGAGGTATCATTAGATGGCGTTGAGATCTCGCTGAAATGGTAAAGAATAAAAAGCAACAAATAAAAGCTTGATCCTGCAAGCAATAATGATATCCATAAACGTCCAGAATATGACGGATAAAAGGCAAGACGCTGTACTGGCATCCCCACAACTGAGAAAGATCAAGCTCCCCGGAAGAGGAACTGCATGTCCTCAGGTGTCAACTTCTCTAACGCATCGCCCTGATCCTTGTTGATTGTTCCATTGATCAGGTTGGCCTTCTTTTCCTGAAGGAGGACAATCCGAGATTCCACTGAATCCTCAATGCATAACCGGGTGATCACACAAGGACGTCGTTGACCAATGCGGTGGCATCGATCAGCACTCTGCCATTCAGCTGCAGGGTTCCACCATCTAAATGAAGACCATTGATTAGCGTGACGTTTATACCAGAATAGGAACGTGGAACTTACGGATCAACGATGAACACCCTAGATGCCTCAGTCAGATTCAGCGCAACTCCTCCGGCTTTCAAGGAGACCAAAAACACCTCAACATCGACATTCTTCATGAAGTAGTCGATGGAACTCTGTCGCTGAGCTGGTGTCATACTACCGTCCAGCATGACAGTATTGAAGCCAGCTCGACGCAAACGCCATTCGACTAGTTGCAGCATCGAGGTAAACTGGGAGAATACAATGGACTTCTGGGTCTGTTTCTTGCTCCTCAGTTTGTAAAGCTCATAGACAAGCATTTCAATCTTGGTCGAAGAGGTCCAGTCCTCCATGCGAATCCGGTTGACAATCGAGTTCTTCTTGACATGCTCCTCCTCTTGCTCAATGTCTGGCTGTTCAAAGTCGATCGAAAGCGGGATATGGCAACGGGGACAGTCAACAATGGTATCGGAATCAAATGACTTAATATAATCCTTTGCACATCGACGACAGAAATCGTGGCGACAGCGAGACCGAATAGCTTCCTCGGCCGGTTCATCACAGATACAACATACGAGAACGTTCTGCCCAGTCTGCGCATGCTTCTTCAGGATGAGGTCCGGATGATTAGCAACCTGACGCATTTGCATGATCAGACCAAAGATGTTGGCGTAGTTGTTCAACATGACACCTTGGCTCACGTAGGTATCAAACCGTCGAGTCGAGTTGGTCATGATACTCTGGGAAAAGTCACTTTCAATCTCGCCGAAGAATTCGTTGTGCAGAACGACACTACATGCAACTGTTAGCAGATATCGATAGAAAGGCCAGGCAAACCGGAATACTAACCGTTTAGGAGGAAGCTCCATTGCCGCCGTGTGATCTCGCTTCACACGTCTAAGCATGATTCTGTCGGTAATCAGGCGAAGCTTGCCCAAAGCCTCCTTCCGAGCGTCAATGTTATTCATTTCGGTGACTGATCTCGTTAGAATAGAACAGGTGACATGCATATTGTGCTTACTTGGGTTAAGAATCTCCTGATTGAAAACAGAGACATGATCGAACCCCCTGCCATAGATGTTAGATCTTTTGAAACCTGGGAAGGTTGAGAGTAAACCATACCTGTGAGTGCAAGAGGTGCACTTTTTGTCGCGATCCTGAGACCAATGTAGGGACCGGCAGTCACACACTTTACAGAAGTAACACGCAAATGGCTGGACTTCGAGGAAACGCAAAAGCGAGAAAAATTCCCCAATCCTGTTCTGCACCGGTGTCCCAGAAAGGCACCACTTGTAGGTGGCTTTCAACGCGAAGCAAGCACGGGCAACACTGGTAGTACGTTGTTTGATACTATGTGCTTCGTCAAGGATGAGACGGTGGTAATTGATGGAATGGATAACGCCTTCACAATTAGCATGACTGACTGTCGTTTAGAAGTACCGAGATGTAGTCCACTCACTATCTTCCTTGACAATACCATCCGCGCGAGCCCACCCTTTCGATTCTTTCCGATAAATCGATTCAAGCCCAGAATCTATCTCAGGAGTTAGAACTATTCTTTTGAACCGCTACTCGAGAATAGAGGTCTATACAAGATATCATAATAACGTCGTATTTCATAAGGTCCTTCTTTTTCAAAGACTTGATCTTGGAGTTCGAGTTGTGATAGACAAGAACCTTTAGTTGGCCGCTGGTGTATTCCTGCAGCAAGGTTAGGGCTGTTTCGAGGCCAACATCGTCAGGTAGGAACAAACCTGAATCTCAGACTGCCACTGCATAAGTGCCACAGGAGGAACAGCAACAAGGGAAGGCTTTCCAACGGGGTAGTCCGACATCAGCAGGGAGACTGCCTGTATTGTCTTTCCCATGCCCATCTCATCACCCAGCAGACCGCCCTTATATTCAGACTTTTCTTGCTGCATCATCCAGTTTAAACCCTCAAGCTGGAACGACTTCAGTGTTCTAGATATACCGGGGGGTTGTTTAGCTGGCACGGGTGTGATTGGTGGTGTCTTCTTCAATTCATCCCACATTGTCTTAATAGACGGGTGCTGGCCTTCGAGCTTCTTCCGTTCCCTCCATGCCTACATAAGAGATCAGCAACGGGATCCGAATCTGAGAGAAGGCTTTTCCACTTACACGGTTACTCATCCAGAATGGCTTACCGACAGTTGAAACCCGTGTTCCTTTGCGAGACCGTGGGTTTCTTGCGTTACCATTCCTCGCAGGCGGAGGCGGCGACGGCACCTCCTCTTCCAACATAAGCATCAATTCATCTTCGCTGTCAAGCATGTCACTGTCAAGAATTTCATCCTCAGAATCAGAGCCAAGAACCATTCGCGGACCGCTATATATATTCTTGCCATTCTTGTCACGCGGCCGCACTTTTTCGTACTCCGAGTCAGGGCTCTCAAACTCGGAAGTTTCATACTCTGTAATAGCATCCTCGTCACTCACATACTCGCCAGGAGAGAGCTTCCGTCGTTTTGAGTTGATTGCCCTGTATTCCTCAGCTTGCAAGGCACGAGCCAGAGATTCATCCATGTCTTTGGCGAAGCCCGACGGACCTCTCTTTCGCCCTCTCTGAGTACCAAGAGACATTGTGCTGGAGCGCAGCTCCGCGGCACGAGCGGAAGCACTGACTCTCTTATTCGGTCTATTCCCATCAGATTCAACGGGAGTGATAGCGACGCTGGTCGCTGGAGTACTGCCTGAAGCATTCTCGACTGACGATCGTGACGAGGAGGTATGTGAAGCCGATAGATTCTTCACTGGGACAGCAACCTGGAGCGAGTGACTGCGACTCGGGCCAGCAACTTGTTTATTATTCGCGCTGGCATTGTCTCGAGAACGGGCCAGTCTCGCGGACGTGCGTCTAGCAGGAGGCGTATTATTTGAGGACGTATCATTTAACGGAGCTGGATCTTTATCAAGGATAACCTCGTTAGCATTTAGAAATATTCAAATGGCAGAAAATAGCCTGGTTGATAAATCTCCTACCAGTCCTCACTACCACAGCGGCCCTGCGTCCCATAATGGCAGCAAAATATGCACGTTGACTCGAAGAAGCTGTCTAAATTCTATACAGCGATTTATTCGATATCCAAATGCCAAATTCAATGTGCTTGTTGTGAATGGCGGACAGAAGATGGCCAGACATCTGGTCAACAGGAAGAAATCGGAGAACCGGGCGGACGAGGCGAACGAGGCGACATGTCCATTGGTAAGGGATGGAAAACTCTTCACGGCGCCTGCTGCCTGATTCAGCAACTCAAATCCATTGTCTATTCAGTAAACATCAAGTCCTCTACCGAACAAATTTTCTTTTTTTTTTTTGGTGGTACATCTTTCTCTTGCCACTAGACACGAACCGATAAGAGCCCGTATCACCGTATCGCCGCAGGTCGCGTTAATTGAAACGCGAAATCATCACGGGTTCCTGTGACTGTATAGTACCTTGTCAGGTCATTTTGAGCTTTTTTCTTTTCCTTTTCCTTTTTCTTTCATACAGTTAGATTTACGAGGGAAACTACTGATTCTTCAATATGTGCGTTAAAACATTTATAACTTTTTGTTATCCATGTGGCTAACCTCTTCTACAGGCGCAGGAATCAAATCCGTGGGCCGTACGTATTTAATTTGTACAGCTCTTGCAGCAGCCAAGTTCAGTCAACTGACAACAATTGCAGACAATCTGCACTGACAGATTTCCTAGCTGTTAGTTTTGATTTGTTCTCCTTGATAAATCCCCGCTGACATCTGTGATTCCGACTACATAGTCCAACAACATCTCCGCTCATCAGATTCATCAAGACTATCGCAGACGTGTACAAGAAGCAGAGGAACGAGAGGCCGAACAACAAGAGACCGCTGAGCAGGAGGAATCACAACATGAAGCTGACGATAACTACGAAGAGACACACGCAGGCGAATTGCCTGAACAGAAGAAGAAGCGCAAGCGAAAGGAGGCGACTACGCTGGCAAAGATCAAGCAGAGTAAAGAGTTTTCCCGGCGTAAATCTCGACGCTTGATGGACGTGGCCGATGACAATAATGATGAGGAGGATGATGATATGATTGCAAAAGATATGATAGATGAGAAATCTCGGCCGATGCCGGGGCAGCTTGAGAACTGTGAAAAATGCGGGAAACGTTTCACGGTGACTCCATACAGCAGGGCGGGCCCAAATGGAGGATTACTTTGTGCGAAATGCTCGAAAGAAGTCGCAGACCAGGGCAAGAAAGCTGTACCGAAGAAACGCGGGCCGAGAAGTGGCCGTCGGCAGGTTCAAAGTAACTTGCTAGATGGGATTATCCAATACGGCACAATGAGCTTGGTAGAGATGTGTACAAAGGTATGTCAACGACTTCTTGGATAATGGTAGGTATGTTGACAGTCTATCATAGAAAGTTGCCGAGAATATCGACGATGTGGAAGAGTTTGGAGATTTGCCCTCGCCATTACTTCATCGTCTCAGCCAGATTTTGTCCAAGAGACGTGTACTCACCTCGAGGACTCTGAATCTCTTCTTACGACCTGAGCTGCATTCTATTGACATCTATGATTGCGCCAGTGAGTATAGTCTATTCGTTTCTCTGACCCAGGTTTAACTGTTTTGTAGAGCTCGAAACAGATGATTTTCAAAAGATATTCGCATATATGCCATCTTTGACACAAGTTAATCTCCGGTATGCGGGGCAATTGAAAGACAGGGTCTTGGAGTACATGATGGGGCAGAACCCGCAGATCAAGTATTTGCAGTTTGATGCAGTCAATCTTGTCACCGATGCATGCTGGCGGCGAGTGTTCCAGAAGTATGGACTGCAACTGGAGAGTGTGAAGCTATCTAATCTCGACTACTCTTTTGACGATGAGACTGTCGAAGAGCTGTGCAAGCATTGCGCCGGACTGCGACGCTTGAAACTCACGCAATGTTGGAAAACCGGGGACAGATCGCTTAAGGCGATTGCAGGATTAAAATCATTGGAGCATTTGTCGCTCAACTTTGTCAAAGAAACCAGTAAAGAGGAATTGGGAGACATCATTCTGAATGTCGGATCGAACCTGCAGACCTTGTCTTTGGACGGATTCCACCACGCGGATGACCATCTGCTCGGACTTATCCATTCCAAGTGCCATTCGCTCGGCAAATTTCGTCTCTCCGATAACGCTGTGTGTACGGATCACGCCTATGCACAACTGTTCACTGGCTGGCAGAACCCTCCTCTGGAGTATGTGGATCTCTCGTCGACACGCGACGTGGATTACTCCAACCCAGACGGACCAGAGGAACCGGTTGGCCTAGCATCTCAGGGGCTCGTTGCTCTGATGGACCATTCAGGGTCCAAGATTCAGAAATTGAGCATTGCATCGTGTCGTCACGTGTCGCGCGAGGCATTCGAGGAGGTATTTTCTGAGGGTAAGAAATATCCACACCTGACAGAGCTGGATGTCTCGTTCAACACAGTCATGGATGACTTCCTGATCGGCAGTATCTTCCGATGCTGTCCGGCCATTAAAAAGTTGGTCGCCTTCGCTTGCTTCAACGTTCGCGACGTCCGGGTTCCTGCAGGGGTTGCCTTGATTGGAGGTTTGAGAGCACAGGGCCCTATCGTGGTGGAAGGCGGGTATTAGAAATAAGCTGTTATACCCAACATCAACGTATGGCACCGGTCTGCAGATTATGGAGCTGCCCGGCTTCTTGAGCGTATTTTGCTTTCAAGCCTTTCAACTACCATAATATCATGAATATGACGTATGTGTATGTCCATCTGAATCTATTTTTGTTTTGTTTTGTTTTGCTTTATTTATTTATTGCGTTGTTTTCCATCAGTAGCGAGACTGTTCGCTTATGGTCAGTGTGCACGGAGAAGACAGCGACTAATGGTGGTTAATGAGACAGCAGCTTCAATGGGGACCCGAGATATGGTAGATCATGCGATTTCCGTATAAATTGAATGAACTGATGCATCCGCCAGCCGCAGCTAGACTCCGTATTAATTAAATGTCATGAGAAGTCTCCGGGTGCTGATTTAGCCATGGGAATAGTACATCATACGGGCGGATAGAAACTGAAGTATGAGAATGGAGTGGATTTTAGTGCTGCTGATCCTATGCACCAGTTTAAGCATCCGTATATCATCCGTTTCAAGTTGAAACTGGCAGATCTTTAGCTGAGTAGAAGTATTCTGAGTGCTCTGTACTCTGTATACTTGTAGACTCCAAAGAATAATCAGTCTGTAGAGGACGGATAGAGTACAGAGTAAAGAGTACACACATTTGAAATACTCTTCACTAGGCTCAATATAAACTGCATACAGTCTGCACGCTAGATACAGTTTCAATAGAGCCGCCAATAATTGACACATCTCGGAGGCATACAGAAACACAGAGAGTCAGAGCTCTTCCCCTGTAATAGATTTGACAATGTTTCTGTTGGTACTTCATAGTATCTTCTTTTAATTTCATCCCTGCTCTCTTTCTTCATTTTTCATTCTTCAATTCTTCATTTAATTGTCCTTTTTCTTTGTGCTACACTTAATATGGCAAAGACCGCGTTGCTATAATTAACTTGCAGCTGTGCCTCACTCGTCGCTCCTCCACATCCCCAAAACGGTTAACTGTGTTTCTGTCAGTGTCAGTGTCAGTGGTTAGTCTCCTTTTTTCTTTTTCTTTCAATTTTTTCTTTCTCGTCCGACCTGGAGGGCTGGTCTCTCTGGGGATTCTAATACTTGTGCTTGCCCATCCATAATACTTGTACATCCTCTCTCCTGTTGCCGAAAAAGAAACGAGACGCAGAGCTTGTTTATTATTATGTGAAACCCGGCAATCTCTCCTCCCCACCCAACTATCCAAACTATCCTATACTCATTCCACACGAGGTCTCTCTGCGAACTCGATTGGATAGTTTTAATTCCTCCCCTGCCAGAAGCTTCCAATCCTCATATTTTCGCTTTCCATTCATATTACTACCAGTTTCTTGTCTACCAACTATCGGCGACTATTATCCTGACTAGTCATTCCTCTCCATTCCTATTCCCATTCCTATTCGTCCCGTTTTGTCTTGTCTAGTACCAACAACATTCTTTATTTGTCTTATTCCCTTCTACTATTATCGTCGCGACAGCTGTCTCCCGTATTGCTTGCTTGCTGCTGCCCGTTATTGACTCAGATCAGTCATATTAATCTATCAATACGAACCCCCCGCCGCGGTCTCGATCGATTATATGAAACAAGCGGCGCGGCCCAAGTGCGCGCTGGTTGATTTTTTTGCATAACGATCCCCCAGCTGGGAGAAAATCTAGTCTAGGGGCGATAATTTCTTCTAGTCCCATCGAGATGCCCATCAAAATCCCCAAAGGGTTTGCCCGGCGCAAGTCGTCCGGTAACGTTCTGGAAGAATCCGAAAATCCTCCTCAGTCTTCCTTTCGCGTCATTGAGCGTCCTTCCATGGATGCAAGATCTCTCAGTGAAGGCAATCTGCTGGCTCCCAAGAGTGCGTTGATGGCACGCCGATCTTCACAGCCGCTAGAGGTCCCAGATAACAATATCTTTGCGGGCTCCTCGAGACCCTTCAACAAGAATCGGTATGCTCTGTCGTCCTTACACACTCCGGTGAAATTATTCAAACGCAGCTAACAGGTCACAGTGATAGTGGAGGAACCGATACCTCGGCCGTCACCGCCGGAACGTACGAGAGCTCCTCATCGCTACGCTTCAGTTCATCGTCCACCAGTCGTCCCTCGAACGAGACGCCGGCTCCTGAGAATACCCAATCGTCTCAGTCCCGAGGCTTCCACGACATTCCTCCGTTGAGTGGTGCGCTGCGGGCCGCTGGCCGGACACTCTCCTTTGGTGGACGGTTCTACAAAAACTCCGCACCCCAGCAACAGCCTCCACCACAACCAGACTCGTCCAAAACCAAGACAATGACAACTGCCACACCTCCGAAAATATTCGACACGGATTTGAACTTGAACATGGGGAAGGAGAGTGATTTTCAGAGTATGCTGGAAGATTTCGGGAGCCCGAAAGAGGCATCTTTTGGTGATGAACTGGCAGATCCGGTATGAGAGAAAAAAAAAAAAAAAAAAAAAAAAAAAAAAAAAAAAAAAAACCCTCTATTCGATTGCTATCATTCTATGTGTAATTGCTAATTTACTACTCAGGAACCACATTCTTTCTCGTCACCGTCTCAAACTGGGAAAGCATCGCGGCCGCCGCCGATCAACACAGATAGATCAAAGGTAGTCGAACCTTCCCCGTACTCGTGGGACAGTCGTCACTCGGAAGAAGGCCTACTGGGCACATTTGATTCTGGTCGGAGAGATTCGTTAGCAGCTCAAGTCAGTACCATGTCTATCAGCGGAGGACGCAAATCGGTCCCTCCAACTACTACCCCACCGCCGGCCACTACCTCGCACCGTGCTCTGGGCCGACCCAGGGCCGGAGCTGACAAGGGGCTGAGAAGGAGCATGATTCATTCCGAAAAGCGGGACTCAGCTCCGGTGGAGGACGAGGACGCTCGGTTGATCATGCAGGCGCTGTATTCGGGTAAAGGCAACACTCACGAAACGGAAAACGAACCTCTCTTCGGGCATGCAAACGAAGACCTTCAGGGTCCATCTCCACTGCGCGTTCGCAAATCACCTACGCTTTCGGAGTATAACGATGCACGACTTGCTGTCCAGTATGAAAACCATGTACCGAAGTCCACTTCACCGACCAACAAAGTCATGACCCCATCGCAGTTCGAGCATTATAAGCAACAACAGGAGCTGCGAAGGGCCAACAGTGATGCGTCAAAAAGTGAATACTCTTCGGAGAGTGAATTTGACGAAGACGATGAAGCGGAGAAGAACCGGGAGGCAGAAAGACAGAGACGGAAGCAGGAAGCCCACTTGTCGATCTATCGCCAACAGATGATGAAAGTCACTGGCCAGCAGCAGTCGTCAACGCCATCACTCCGCCCGGAGGTGGACCGGTCCAGTAACAGTGACCCGAACCTGACGGTCCGGTCATCCATTCCAGGGAATCCATCCACAAGCGGAAAGAGTAACGACGGCGGTGATGATGATGAAGAGATTCCATTGGGCATCTTGGCAGCCCATGGATTCCCAAGCAGGAATCGTCCCCCCACACGGCTCAGCACTCCCCGATCGATTCCCAATCTCCGATCTTCATTCCAGCTTCCTAGGTCATCTGCGAGTTCAGCTCACGGTGACCAAAGTACCGTCAATCATGCCAGCTTGCCTGCTTTTGCCAAGAATCTGCCACGAGATCCTTACTACGGAGCTAGTATTGTCAATCCTACTAACCGGGAACCTTTGGCTCTGGGTGGAGGTATATCCGCACAGGCAAATCCTTCGTCGTCCGCACTGCCTCCAGGAGGCTTGGTGGGAGTTATTGCTACAGAAGAACGGGCTCGGGCCAACCGACGCGGCAGTCCCAATACTCAGGCGATGTACGAACATGCAGCATTTGGAGGGAGCACTCCTCATCTGGCCGGTGGTATTCCTAGGCCCTACTCAATGATGGGCATCAATCCGCCAAGTGCACCTTCACCCCAGTTGCCAGTCTCTGCGACAGAGCAGGCACAGATCCAGTTATCGCAGCAAATGTCGCAAATGATGCAGCTGCAAATGCAGTGGATGCAACAAATGATACAGATGCAAAGCGGGCAGGGCTCGCTACAACCGCCACCGCAAATGCCAACGGCCGGTCCCTTACCATCTATCAATGTCAACCCGAATGGCAGACCCGCGTCGATGCCAGCAGCTGGGCCTTTGAACCCTGCCGCCACCGGATCGCAAGGTGGTCAGAGAGCTCTCAGTATGTTGAATCCGCAATCGTCTCGGGTGAATACTGGTCCCCCAATGGCGTATGCTGCGGGCGGACTTCGTCCTGGTACGCCAGCTGGGCAAAGTTATGTACCATCGATTGCGCCATCCGAACGTAGCAACGTTGGTGCAGGGCCTCGATATCGACCAATGTCGGCTATGCAACCGGAGCAGGGATCGTCATTGGTGCCCCCCATGTCAAAACCATGGAATGATGAAAACCAGAGGTCGACCGTTTCGCTTGTCAACCCCTCTGCGCCATCAGCCACTGTTCGCCCTGTCTCGAGTGCCGGTTTCTCTATTAGTGCTAGTAGGCCCCAACAAGCTGCTACTGCGGAGGACGACGAAGATGACGATGAGGGCTGGGCCGAACTGATGAAAAAACGAGAAAGCAAGAAGAGCAACTGGAAGACGAAACGAGAGTCTTCGAACCTGAGAGATCTGTTGAACGTCGTACATTGACGGGCGCACATATCTCTCCCCGTTTCCTATTTTACAGCCAATTTCTGCCATTTGTTTTGGATATGAGCAATTCCCCCCCCCCTTACCACAATATTTGACGCAATGACACTCGCATCTATTTACGAAAGCTCTTGATTTGCCTTCGGGCTCATAGTTATGGGATGGTGGACGGCGTTTTCAGGATTTGGTGTCTATCTATTTTATGTGTCTTCAGGATTTATGGGAATTTCTGTCAAAGTAAATGCTAGAGCGATGGTCAATTTCTGTACTTAATCATAGACTAATATACCGAATCTGCAAGCGGACCATAGGGTGACAATGCACGTTCTTAAATGCCAGCCAAGTTTTTAATTATATCATTGGCTTCGCATCGGACACGCTCCAGGATGGTAGCAACAGGCAGAGCCTCCTTGATCAGTCCAACTCCAGTCCCAGCATATGTAGTCATTCTCCCGGCTGGCCCCCATCCGTCATCGCCTTTCTTCATTTCTTCCTGATAGAGTCGCCTGTTCTCCTCATCATCCATTCCTTTTTCGACAGCATCGACATAACTCTCGTTGACCACACCGCGCCCATCGTACCGATCCGGCCAGCCACCAATCCCTCTCACCCGATCATACACCGTCGACCGGACCGTATTACGGCCTCCATCAGACACACGCAGAACCTCTGCTTGATACCCACGAGCAACAGTTGCTTCTGACGATGCCAGAAAGCGCGTCCCCATAATGACTCCTGATGACCCCAGTGCCAGAGACGCAGCCATACCACGTCCATCAACGATGCCTCCTGCTGCTAGGATGACGGGTAAAGCATCCTTTGGCGCGTGATTTACGTGCAGCGCATCCCGCACCTCGGGCACCAGCGTGACGACGGACGCTGAACGGGCCAGCCCATGACCTCCTGCATCTGACCCTTGAACGACCAGAACATCCGGCCGCAGCGCCTTAACCACGTCCACCGCTTCCATCACCGTCCCGACCTGCACCCAGATCTTCGTCCGTCCGTTCGTCGCAGTCCGCACACGCTCAACCCACGCCCGCAAGTCATCAGGCTGCGACCTAGGGGCGAAGAACCACACCGCGCATGGCTTATACCTCCCAATGGAAGCGACTGCGATCTCCAAATCCGCGCCCCAGTTGATAAACCCCACACCCACGGGAAGAATACCCGTCTCGGCGTGGAAATCGCGGGTCTCAGCGTTTTTGGATTCCCTCACGAGCCGGGTGGTTTCTTCTAGGTTGCTCTCCAAGTTAGAAACGTCGAATCCGCCTGCGAGAAAACCAAGACCTCTTGCTTCTGAAACGGATATTGCTAGCGGGGGCAAGGCGATGTTGAGCATCGGAGCCGAGGCTATTAGAGGAGCCTTCGTCCATGGGTAGGTTGATTGAAGGACTGGGTTGGAGGCAGTCATGGTTAATTGAAAGCGGTGTTCTTTTATCTACAAAATGTGAAATATATACAGTATTCAAAGAAAGTGCAAGTAGTAAGAAAGGATTCATGTTGGAGAAATAATATAACCTAATTTGGAAGCATAACCTTATGCCGTCTATAATGCACAGAACCACGTGACAGTCACGGGATTGAATCGGCATTTTGATAAGACAAGCAGCTCTCGCAGCTCTCTTTCTGATAGTCTCCAACCTGGAATTTAGCCATACAGCCCGGAATAGAGAGAGCCACAGCATCTTTTTATTTCCTTCTTTTCTATCTTATCCATTCTCTTTTGCATTCTTCCTTTTCGTTTTTTTTTTTTTTTTTGTGATACCCCCCCTTCGCTGTGTTTTTGCCATCTATTCTGAAGTACATCTTTTAATATCTTTTCGCTTTTGGTTGCTTCGAGAGAAATTGCACGCGTCCACGTAGGTCAATCCTCCTGTCGAACTTTGAAGGAAAAGATTTAGCTAATGCCTTGGCAGTTGATTCTGGCTATCCTTTAAATAATTTGGAAAGACTTTGGATTAAAGCAATAATTCACAAAGATGAACGCACCTGACAGGTAGGGAAGCCTTTTCTTTCTGCCTTCTTTATTTTATTTTATTTTGTTTCTTTTTTCTTTTTTTTTTTTTTTTTTTTTTT